CATTAAATAATATCTTTGACAATGTTTGACATATAACCTCCATTACTAACATAACCTACATTTAAATGTATGTGGTGAAATAATCTAAGTCGTACGTCCATATCTTGATTCATACCATTTTTAAGCGATCTGTCACTGCCAGCTCTCGTGGTTTCTACTATATCTAAATTTGAGTTTAGAACATGAAGATGAACAACTTTGTGTGGAAGAATCCTTAGAGGAATGAATGGGTCTCGAAGGCGTTAAATTCGATGAGGAATCTCTATTTACTAGAGTACCAGTCAAAAATGGCGTGGATGGTCTTCGCCAGAAACTGAAGTATGTTTCAGGGCTACTGGAGTACTGTTTACCATCAATATATTTTAGCTGGAAGGGAGAATTTTGTGAGGAAAGCGAGGGGGGGCATGGGACCATCATTGTCACCGATAATCGCCAATTTCTACATCAATATGCTTAAAGAAGAAACGTTAACGAATAGTTCACGGAAACCAAAGCTGTCTATAAGGCTTCGTTACGTGGATGACACCTTTGTAATCTGACCTCTACTTTTCAACTGAGTCCATGAGAAGAGCAATGAAATTATGGCCAGAATTTGTGTCAATAGATGGTACTTACAAGCATATATATACTATCTCCTATATCGCTGACTAAGGCAGCAAAAGAGTGTAAACACTAGAGTGCAGATATATATATATCTGTCTCTGTCGTGCCCCCGTCTACTCAAGAGACATGCGTGAACACGTGGTGAGTACGCTTTTATCTTATTGGACGGTGAATTAAAAATTAATAGCAGCTGATGACCTTGATGTTTATAAATCACCAAATAAATGTTTGACATAAACATAACCTAAAATCTAAATATTTAGTTATGTATATTATAGGTTTCATGTGTATAATAACATAATTATTAACATATTTTAGGACTAAGCAATTTAAAATGTAATTATTATTTGTTAAGAAAGTGAAGAAAATTTGTTAAAAGATATTTTTGGGGCCTAAAAATTGGTTGAGCAGGTAGAAGGAAAGATCTCAGTGTAATAAAAAAGAATTCAAAGCCCTCCTTTTCTTGAAACATTTTTCTTAAAAATTTAATTAATAATTACATCGATATGATGAAAATTTTATGATAGAATATTATGTACATTAAATAGTAAGTACCCTAAGTACATATTTTATATCTTTAATTAATGTAACAACTTCATTAAAGGGTGTATGCTCACAAATTATGTTAAAAATTAATAACTATATTTTGGTACACATTTTTAATAATTACTATGTATACAGGTGTATCTGAATGACTGCAAACAAACTTCAAGGGGTGATTCTTTACTGAATTTTAAGGGTACTTTGATATATGAACCATGGGCGATTTCGGCTCCCCTAAGGAGCTACACCTCTCCAAAAATGGCGGAAAATTTTGGTTTAGTTTCTTTTTCTCAAAAACCATAAACGCTAGGAAAATGAAATTTGGGGAATATGTTTAACTGATAATAGGGCACCTTTTGATCCTATTTGTACTTTCAACCTACCCTTCTAAATTACTAAACGTAACCACCCCCTTTACATTTTTACTACTATTTTTTTTATGCAGATGATAAATACATTAAAAAAAATTTACCTAGGTAGATGAAAGTATCCTAAAACTTTTTTGTCTCTCTAAAATTTTTCCAAAAACGACTAATTTTGGAGAAAAAAAATAATAAAGCAAATACTGCACGTCAAACATCGGGGTTGTCGATCAAAAGTTGGAATGAATTTTTAATGAAAAAATCTTAGTAGGCTCTGTAATCTTTGTCAGAAATATTTTTGACGTTTAAATGTCAGTGGTTTTCTTACTATTATTATTGTTTTATTTAAAATTTTGAAACGTCGAGTGAACGAGCGTAAATGCGATAGAACTTTATTCAAAAATTAATTTGAAAAACAATAATAATAGTAAGAAAA